CTTTAGGTAAAGCACAGGCGTGTTTCAGGTCTGTGTACCGTGGCTGTAACACTGGCCTCCTGGAGTTGATACGGGCTGGTCCTAAGCGTCTTATTTTTTTAAGCTGGTTTAACACTTTTAAAGACAGACACCAGCATATTATTTAATGTTCAGAAGCAGACACAGGAGAGTCACCATTTGGTTAGTGGTGAGGTTCTTTCCTGGTTTGCATTTTTTGCAGTGGTGTGAACATGGAGACTGCCATTCGTTCTAATTTCTGAACCTTTCATGCATGGTGCAACCTGAGAACCATATCACACATGAGCTATCAATTGTGGGAGGTGTGTGCAATATGTCTTAGATTTACTCTTGAGGTTTTCCCTTATTTTGGATCTAGGGCAAGACAGCATGGCTATTTTTAATATTTCAAAGGGGAGTGTTCGAGATGTCTTTATAATAATAGGACCAGAAAGAAGGGCTCAGAATGTTCTGCATGGTCAGGGCCCATGCTCATAGTGCTTTGATCTATGAGTCTTTGATAACTTTGTATTACCCCACAAGGTTCTGTTTTAATGGAAGTTGGAGATATTAAAAACTAGACAATTTTTTTCTCCACTCATTCTTTTCAGTATTTAATATAAGATAGTTTAATATAGAATTGTTCTTACTTAAACAGTGTACATGTCAAGAGTTTTAAGTTATTTAAATTTTTTACGAAAGTGGACTTAACTTTAGGTAATAATCTTACCTTCTGAATGGCAGTAAAATAATTTTAGATATTATTACCAAATTTTTAGAGTTCCAACTTGTTGCCTGAAAACAAAAAGAAAATAAAACAAAACTCTACTTATTATATTCTTAATTTAGTTTGTCATCAAATATCAGAACTCTGGGGAAAAAAAAATGCAACACCCACCCAGCATACTCTTAACGCATAGTTTTTAACACTGGTGTTTTGCTATAGTGAATCATTGTCTCCCAGTCTTTTTGGTGTTTGAAATACTCTCATTTCTACTTTTACTCCCTTCCCATCCAAATACTTTCCAAGAAATGTTTTATAACATACCTTTAAAAAAAAAAATTAAAAAGGGATGTGAACTGTTTTTGTTTTGATAATGTTCTGGGAGATTCCTTGCCCACTTGGGCACTGTCTTAGGGAGGAGTGTTGATGTGTCATGTCAAGGTGCTCACTTTGAGTGGCTAGCCGCTAGACTCCTAGGAATGCTTCTGTAGTTGTCGGTGTATTCCAAGCAGGAAGCAGTGGCCCCAACGATCTGTTGTTAAACGTATTAGTCCTTTTTTTCCTTGACCTCATTTTACTAGACTCCTAGGAATGCTTCTGTAGTTGTCGGTGTATTCCAAGCAGGCAGCAGTGGCCCCAACGATCTGTTGTTAAACGTATTAGTCCTTTTTTTCCTTGACCTCATTTTCCTTGAGCTCAAGTGCATATCTACTATTAGGTAAAACAGGAGTATATTTTGGTACCTGCCACCTTCAGTTCTTGAGTTACAGTGATGATTTCTCGTTAGAGCATGACTAACTGTCGGTCCTGAACAATGACACTTAAAAAATTTTTTGTCTACTTTTCCAAAAAATACTTGTTGAGAATCTGCTGTGTGCATAGCACTGACTTAGCTGTGCTATATGTTGTAAATTCTGGGTCATATACTAATAGCTCTTGATACAGTAACCATTTTTGATATGAGCAAAAAAAAAATCAGAAGGTAGAGATCACCAGCCACATATACCTGCTACTTAACATGGAAGGTAGAGCAGCAGCCTCAGATCTCCTTTCCCTGTCCCAGGATCTCACCTGGTTCAGCAGTAAAGTGTAGGTTTTATACAAGCGACCTGTGTAAAGTAAAATAGAGACTTTTCTTTTCCTTTAGTATTAATGGACAATAGTGATGATTTTTAAAATAGCTTTATTGAGGGATAATTGATGTACAGGAAGCCATACATATTTAAAGTGTAAACTTTGAGAGGTTTTGACATGTTTACACTCATGAAGTCATCAAAATCAAGATAATCCTTTCCTCCTGCTTTTCCCCAGTCAACCACTGATCTACTTTCTGTCACTATAGATTAGTTTGCATTTTCCAGAGTTTTATATAAATTGAATAATACAGTGTGCACTCTTTTGGTCTGGCCTCTTTCACTCAAAGTAATTATTTCAGCCCTCATCCATGTTGCATGTATCAGTAGCTCATTCCTTCTTACTGCTGGATATTGTTCCATTGTATGGGTGTTCTACAGTTTATTTATTCATTCACAGTCTGTTGGTGGATGTCGAGGTTGTTTCTGGATTTTGGCTTTTATAAATAAGCTGCTAAGAACATTTCTTTTGTCAATGATACTTTAAATTTAGCTTCTTTTCCAGTCTTTTCCTTTATGCAAAGTGAGTTTAATAGCATTTATTTTTATTTCTTTTCTTCTGCATTATATCAATACCAGGTAAATTAAGAGGGACAGGAACAGACTATTTTTGGGTAGACCAGAGTTTCTCTTGGTCTACTACTATTGGGTACCAAATTTGTAGCATTTTTGGAAATCTGTTTTTAAAAGTAAATGTGGTGCAGACACCGATTTTCAAGATTTATAAAAGCATTCCTAGGAAAAGTTTCTAAATGAGTGTTATTACTCGGCTTGTGTTCTATGTCAGCAAAGCTGTAAGCTTCCTGGGAACCTTGGAAACTACTTGGGAGGGATCTTGACAGATCCCAAGAAGAGACAAGAGGGTGACAAAACCCAAGAATGAACAAATTTGTTGTTTCTGTTTTAACGCTGAAAGTTTTTGATTCTAAGGGCCCTCCTCCCCTACCTCATGTTAGTTTTTAAAGTATAGCAATGGAGTGATTCTTTCTAAATTTCTGGCTTTGTTTCTTATTATTTACAACCCTTTTCATAGTAAGTCAAAGTAAAGGGCCATCTCTTCCTTTCCTCCGGGAACCTTCTGTGAATCCCATCCAGACACTGCATGTGCTTTTCCTCATCTCTTCTTTTAGGCTGTGGATCGGCTGGAGGATGGCCTCCAGGACCAGAGGAAGAAAGAGGGGCCTCTCTATAGACGTTATGAGCCACCCGGGGCTTCAGGTTCCTGATTTGGCTTCTCCCTTCCCTTTTTCTAATAATGGCCGGATTTAGAACTTCTGCAAGTTGGGCTCACCCCAATGTGCCCTGAGTATTTCTTAATATTTCTTTCAGTGTGGGAGTGAAACATTTCTTGTTCATTTAGAGTCTAAAGAGACATACTTACTATTATTTTTTAAAGAAGAATTTTCTCAAATATTTACTGAAATGCCATGGAGCCACCTGTAGGAAATTTAATTCTGCTGACATAACAACAGTCAGTCAGCTGACCTAGTAATGGCCCTCAGGACTGGTGCCTAAGGACAGTGCCCACATCCTCCCTGGCAGGGGAAGACTGGCAATCCCTTTTAGGGTTGGTCATTGCAAATCTGATGATAGGCTTATATGCAGAATTTATTTCGTTATGTCCGTAAGGTCTTAAGGGTGCTTTGATTCTGTGTCCCTGTCTCTGTATTCTGTAGAGATAAAAGCTTCCTGTTTGAGTGACAAGTGATTTTACTGGCAGAGTGGCAGTTCCTCAGGCTTTTGGCTTAAAAAAATATTTTTTTTGTGTGTGTTTTGTTAATTTCTGGGAAATGGTACAGTAGGTGTTCAGGATCAGGGTGATGAATGTTAAAGATAGAAGGTGAAGGAAGCTATCAGGAAGTTGGACAAATACTGCTGGTGGTTGTGAGGGCTGTTTTGGTATCTGGCAGCATCATGGCAACCACAGATAGGAGGCTGTTACAGTTGTCTGCGTAACAAATTAACAGGACGCAGTGGCAGAAATAGAGAGTAGGGGCTGGAATTCTGATGTGTTGGGAAGTTGAATGGATATGGCTCGACCATTGATTGGATGTATCCTCAGTGAGAGGAGTCTAGGATAGTCATAAAAGGAGGGATACAAATGGCAGAGCAGGCTCCAGTAAAATGTTGTGGTGGTTTTTTAATGCTGAGTTGACAGATCTAAGGAACACTCTAGGGTTGATGTCTGATGTGAAGGTGAGACTGGATCTGGAGGTTGGGAGGGAGGAATATAGGTCCAGCAGCCTCCGTGGGGTGTGCTGGGTCAGATGTGGACATGGGTGAGCGCCCTTGGGAGAGCACTTGGAGCAGCAGGAGGAGAGAGTTCATGGGCAACAGCCATGCTTATGGGATTACATGGATGAGGAGGAACCCACAAAGTGGGGACACTAGGAAAAGGAGTTGGTACCGAGGCCAAGGGAGCGTGTCAAGCCAGGATGGGGTCATTGGTGCTACAGAGAGGTCTCTGGCCAGAGAAGAGCTCAGACTTGGCAGCATTTAGGACACATTGGTGTCCTGATGGGGGACAGGCTGGATGACAGCATTAGAGCACCTCTGGAAGAAAGGTAGAGAAAAAAGCCGGTTGACATTTTCATGGCAAAGTGGATAGGCAGTTTTAAAGGTTATTTGGCCATTAGCCTCTTCAGTTTTTATGATAGGCTTGAGGTTCCCTGTTCTAGAGAATACTAAGTTGTTATGCTTTGAAGAGTTGAAACTTTCTTTTCATAAATGTTTTGGGGGTGGCCTTAGGCTTTAGCATAGTGATCTTAGCACCTAGAAAGCTTACTGAAAACTTAGTACGATATTTTTCAATTTGAATTTACCAATGTGAGATTTTGAACCTCTTGAGCAGTGCAGGTGCACGGATGAAGGCTCCACCTGCATGGTGTTCTTAAGGTCTGCTCTCCTCTCGTGTGCTGTATGTGTGTACAGCATCCTGCATACAGCGCAGACCTGTGTGATCGCCTTAGCCTGCTCTGGGAAATAAATGTTTAAGTAAGTGGTGGGAGAGAGCAGAGAGAGCATCGCCCGTTGTCTCCTGGTACCATGCTATGGTGAGCCTGGAGGAGTCGGTAAGAAAACCCCTGAGAACACTCTGTGGCCTGTATAGTTTTTAATGGTTCTTGTTTGAATATTTGTTTCTTTAGGCCTGTCAACCACTTGGTCCCAGAATTCCCGATCCCAGCACAGGAGAAGTTCCTGCTCCAGACATGAAGATCGAAAGCCTTCAGAGGTACTTCCTGAATGCTTGCCTGACTGTGCATGTCGTATACGTGTGTGCGTGAGTACATGCTGCCCCCCATACACATGGTTGATTGGTGTCTATCTGTGTAATCTTGGGCAAGTTACTTAACCTTTCTGTGCCCCAGTTTCCAAATCTGTAAGATGGGAATAACACAGGTGTCTGCCTTGTAGGATTCTTGTGAGGATTCAGTGGGTTAATACACATAGGCTAACACATACAAACCATGGGAGTAGTTCCTGCCACCTAAAAAGTGCTCAGTAAATGTCAGCTTTTCTTATTAATTATATTCTTTTTATCCTTTCCTGTTCCATCTTCACTGGCTCCCAACAATTTTTCCTCTGGCCAGGAGATCAGCGGGTTCAGCTGCTGCCAAGTCACTGCCAGCCTAAAGTTAGTTTTAGCCATGAATTTGTGGCTTATTTGGCAACAACCCAATGTAATTCTGCGAGTTTTGTTTTGGGTATTATGCTTAAGGTTTTCCCCCCTTTTCCCAATTTGTTTCTCATCTTATGTTTCCCTGGTACCCCACATTTTGTTGTTTATCTGTCTGTCTGTCTGTCTGTCTAAAACTGTTTTTAGGTGCATTTCTCTTTGCTGGCCTTTGTTGATTAGGGTCCTCTACCAGTGCTGTGATCTGTTTTTTCTGGAAACCTTTGCTGGACCCTGAGGGTTTAAGTCATTGAAGAAAAGGTCTTTTAATTTGTCACAGTTTTCAAGTGAACAGGTTGTGGGAGTGACAGTTTTCAGTTGAGTGCTTTGGTTTTGTGTTGCCTCTTGGTGGGATGACTTCAAAGATAGCTTCATGCTGTAATGGGGAAGCAGAGGCCAATTCCTCGGAGGTACTTCCTGGACTGTAATTGGGGTGCCAGGAGGGTGCTGTGTTGAAGAATGGAGGAGTTACTTGGTTGTGGAACAGCATCCTCCACAAGGACATAGTGTACATCCTTTAGAATTGTAGAAAACCATCCCAGGAGGCACTTACACATTAGATCAGATGTTCATGAGAAGGTGGCCGTTTATCCACTTGATTTATTCCAGGCCTTTTGTCCTTTTGAACCTACAGCACTCCCTTCCTTTTCTGCAGTGCTGGAGCATCTCTGCTGCTCTTTTTCTTTCTTCCTTAATTCCTTGTGCTGCCTCTCCGGCCCCATGGTACCTTTCTGATGTTTATACTGTGCTCCTGATATCTCAGCACAGGAGCACAGAGGGCTCTGATAAGGAGCCGTGACGTGGTGTGGGGAGTGCCAGAGCCTCCACGGTGCGGCCAGAGCCCCCTCGAGCACCGTCACTGAGCAGCATGGGCACTGCGCTGGCCTTGTCCCCGGCCTGTTTTGGTCTAGATTTTTTTCTATATTGTCTCAGAGTTTAGCTGTGAGTTCAGACTAGTTCTTACATAAAGCGCTGATGTTGAGCTCCGCCAGGGGCTCAGGAGTTAGGTCCGTCTGAGGGCGTTTCAGTTCTTGACCAGTTCAGTTCTTGACCAGTTCCTCCTGTGAGTCTTTGAGGAAAGGAACGGTTTTTTCGCCTCGTTGCTTTAGTTTGATTTTCCTTCTTCTTTGTCAGTTCCCCTTGTTTTTTACCTGTAGGACTTAGTTGGAATATGTTTTCATCTGATTTGCTTCTTAAAGGTGTATACCCACGACTTAGGTTTTGAAGGGCTTTCTTCTCGGGACAGGAGGGTGTGGTTGAGGTAGTCAGCATGCTGGGCTGCACCTGCTTCAGGGTGCCATGCTTGAAGGGGACCTGATGTCATGTATGATTTTTGTGGAAGGTGCACAGCTAGGTTCGTGCTTATTAATGGGACTTTAGAAATGAGGACTGGCATACTGGGGGAAAAGTCAGCATTGAAAAAGGCAGCCTGGAGAAGTGGTCTTTTATTCAGACACTGCCTCAGACTTCATTATGGTGAAGTTTATTAAAGTGATCACCAGCCTGAAAAGCCACCAGGAAAAACAAATATGGACCTGTTAGTAGGCGTATGATGTGAACTGTGCTTAGCAGCACAAGAAAGAACTCCCTGTCCTGAGAAGAGGGAGTTCAGCATTGTGACTTGTGTAAACAGAGAGGGCAGCTTACAGATGCGGCTCACTACTGCCAAACACAACTTTGGGCCTGCTCTGGTGCCAGGGTCAGAGCTGCCTTATGGAGTCCTTAGTCATGAGTGGGCTGAGGACAAGGCCTGAGAGGGAACCAGCTGTGTGGCCCCAGCTGGGAGGCAGTGTTGTGCTCCTTCTGGGGTCAGGCCTTGGTGACCACGGGTGCCACAGGCCCATTAATCTGAACAGAAGCAGGCTCTGGGAGGGCCTGTGCTGAGGAATTGGGGAACTCTCTTGGAGGAGCAATTTTGAGTGTTGTGGGTCTGTCTAATTTTGGCAGAATGGAAGAGAGTAGTATCTCTCTCCTCCCTCCTCTCCCCACAGATGCTGCTTCCTGGGTAGAAGTTATGCCAGGTGAAGGTGTACAAACAGACAGGTTCATTGCAAGCCCGTCCCCTGGCTTGGCACTCCAGCACCTGTCATTGCTTCACTCCCAGGTTTTTCCAGTCCTGCGCTTCTACCTGGCACCAGCCAGCCCCGCTCCTTGACTTCACCAGATACCTTACCATAGCCCTGGTGCTCTAGAAGGCAGGGGCTGGGGGTGGTGGGGGTCGCCTGAATATGGAAGACAAGACCCTGGTGGTTCTAGAAGGATTTGGCTTGAACTTGTTATAGGAGTAGTGGAGTTTTATTTCTAAACATTTACTGGGAGAGCACCCTTGAGTGAAATATCTCTCTCCAGGGATTTTTCAGGTGCATGTTTTTAGCAGCCCTTTTGGTGAATGGAGAGTTCTTGGAAGTTTTTCAGAGGAGGACGATAAGGTCTGCTTAGTTGTTTTGTTGATTTTGTAGACACTGCTGTGTCTTGCTGTGCTGACTGAGGAGTGAGAGGCAGCATTCCCTCAGCTGCTGCTGTCCCAAGCCTGAGGAAGCAAGGCAAAGGTGCGGCAGGTGAAGGGTTTTCTATAATAGGTCAGACTAGTTCTATACTGGAACAGTGACCTTGTTACATGACAGCTCCATGGTTACCCTGCAGCTGCCAGCACTCTCAATAAGAATGCAAATATCAAATGTCAGTGTCCCTTTCTCTCCCTTTCCAGGTGTTTAGGACAGACCTGATCACTGCTATGAAGTTGCATGACTCCTACCAGCTGAACCCGGATGAATACTATGTGTTGGCAGATCCCTGGAGACAGGAATGGGAGAAAGGAGTCCAAGTGCCAGTGAGCCCAGGGACCATCCCTCAGCCTGTGGCCAGGTAGAGAAGTGTTCCACCCACGCCCTTCTTCAGCAAAAGCTAGGCACCTGAGAGGAGTCAGTTTCTGAGTTAGCAGTAAAATAAAGGAGGCCTCAAGTGGAAGTAGAAATGTGGTAGAAACACACTTCAGGCACAGGAGGTGATGATTTTGAGGGTCATGGGCCTTGGGAAAGTGCTGAGAGGAGGGCAGATTCCGAGACATCCTTGGAAGTGACTGGGGTAGGGGAGGGGGGTTTGTGTGTTCACACGCTGCGTCTTCTTTCCATATGTGTCCACTTTGGAGAGTGGCTCTGGGGAGAGAAGTGTCTCCGTCTCTGGGAACCAGCAAGGGCAGCTTCTTGGCTACAGTGGTTGGTTCCACCTCTGGGGGAGGACAGGTGTGAGGAGACCTGCCAGGTTAGGGTTTATGGGAAGAGGAGTTCGATGAGTTCTGCGGATGGGCTGTTCCCAGTTGTTCTTGTAGTGCATTCTCTCGATTTACTGACCAGTCACTTATCGCCTCATAGATCTCTTAGGATCAGGTGATCAGTGACTTTCCTCATTTCCTCACCGTCCAGCTCCGTTTGACCTGGAGTCTCCTCTCACGGGGAGAGGATTGAGTGCCTCACTTGCGCAACTAGCACCCGGTTTCTCTGCCGCATGTTTTGAGACATGGCCTCTTTCACCATTGCTGAGTCTGGACTGGCTTGACTTCTTGGCCCTCACCCACCTCATGCTCTTGAGATGATCAAATTTGATTGTTGTCCTTTTGGGATCTCTGAGAAGTCTATTCAGTGGGGACAAATGTCCATATCATGTTATATTTCACTGTTGATGTTTAGATTAGGTGACTGATCAGGAGGTGCCAAGGCATCTGAAGGCGAGAGTCCTGGCCTATAGAGTGGAGTGGGCATTGGGCTTTCCAGGGTGGACACGGTGTGTCTGCCTCGGAGTCTGTGTCTGAGATGCAGCACACCACCTGTTTCAGCGTTGGCAGTCCCAGTCCAGGAATTATTTGCTGAATGATTCAATTTCATTTGGAAGCTCAGGACAAAAGGAGTGAGAGCACTAACATGGCTTGTAGAAGTTTCAGGTGGAACCCTACTCTTCGTTGAGTAGAAGTAAATCTCTTTAGTTTGCCTATCTCAGTGTCATGTAGAGAAAATCACTCTGGTAATTATAAGGGTCGTGAAGGTACGTTGACAAACTTTGGGCAACCTGTTGGCATTAACACAAACTGCTGAAGCACAGAAATGTAGAGGAACCTTGTGGACCTCTGGGGTCTCTGATTAGGAAGAGGGCCTTTAGCTCCAAGTTGGGAGTGGTTTGCTCTTCTCAAGTGCAGTTCCTTCTTTTGAGTGGGGTAAGGTGGAAAGTGCTTCTCCAGGGGTGAACAGATTGGGGAGTGGGTGAAGTGTGGCAGTGTAAGGAGAAGAGGAGACTTGTGTTCCTGTTCCCGGGGTCATAAGTTTATGTAGGGAGAATCCCCTACTTGCCTAGGACTCTGATTCTTAGGTATTTTACTAATGGTCAAGGCCTAATTTCCTCTCTCTGTCTCTCTCTGTCCCCAGCATCCTGCTGTGCATGCCCTGCTTGTGTGGCTGGTGTGGCTGTTCTTGCCTCCTCAGTACTTGGCAAGCCCTGGTTCTAATGGAATCCAGCAGGAGTGGCCAGGCCTAGTTAATGGAAGGGATTTGGGGGTCAGGGTTTTTTGATGTTGGCAGCAGGCCCCAGCAGTCACCGTCACAGAAGGTGGCAGGGCACAGTGGTATCCTGGGAAGCTGGTTTTGAGGACTTATGCAGTGTTTCACTTGTATCTGTTTCTATTCTGGGGGCTTTAACAACTTGTAGTTAGGGTTTTGTTAGCAGTGACGATTGGGTTTAAGCCTGTGTTTTATGAACCTGGTGGTGACAAGGCTTCTGAGAGCTGGAGGAGGAAGCTCTACGTGGGGTCTCTGACTAGCTTCCTTCTATGTGGCAGAAAGGGTAACCCGGCAGCCTTGTTTTCTTGTTAATCAGGGTCGTGTCTGAAGAGAAATCCCTCATGTTCATCAGGCCCAAGAAGTACATCATCTCGTCGGGCTCCGAGCCTCCAGAGTTGGGCTATGTGGACATCCGGACCCTGGCTGACAGTGTGTGTCGGTATGACCTCAATGACATGGATGCTGCGTGGCTGGAGCTGACCAATGAAGAATTTAAGGAGATGGGTGAGAGATGATGTGTTATATTCTTTTCTCAACTGAGGATGAAGAGATAAGTATTGTAGGCATGTAGGAGAGTAGGACAGCTCCTCGCTGCCTGGGTAAGCCAGGGCCGTCATAGCTTCAGTTAGTGTCGCAGCATTGGGCTCTTGAGAAATTGGCTTGCCCAGCTGTGACAGATATGCTGAGATGGATTCAGAGTCCATGTGTGGCTTGTAGAAGAGAGCGGCTGTACCGAGAGGGATGTGTTCCGTGGAGGCAGGGCTCCTCATGGCTCGGCACCAGGGATTTCCCATCCATGCTTGGATCTAAACCCCCACATTTATTTCCCTTAGGGGAACTGAAGCCCAGGGATACTAAATGACAGAAGGGTCTAGTCCCCACTGTTTTCTGCTCTAGTGTTTCTGTTTTTTTCCCTCTGTGATGACATTCAGATTCCTTTTTCTTTTGTTGCGGCCTGCTGTTTCTCAAAATTAATCCTACTCCAGCCAAGGACACTTTTTTCCAAGCACATCACTTTTTTTTTTTTAACCTCAGTGATTTTTCTTAAGGCCTGCTCCAAACCTGAGGTGCTTTTCCCCCTCTGACCTGTTTAGCTCTGTCCTGGCTTCCTCCAGTGAAACCTCATCTTACCTAGGTACCCCACGCCCACAATCTCTTTTCTGTAAGATGTTCATTCTAGTGTTTGTAGAGGTTGGATCTTCTCTACCTCAATTACTTGTATCTCAGGCTGTCAAGACTGGGGTGGCCCATCGGTCTCATCTTGTGTGCTAATCCTGATTGCTAAGGGTTGCCTTGAGGGTTGTGATGAGTAAGACAGTGAGGTCCAGTCTGGGCTCAGTGTGAAGGACCATTGAGGCTTGATTAGCATTTGTGCCATGAGTCCAGGCATGGACTGTTTATTTGCAATCTAGCATATAGGAAATAAGAGATGTTTGGTGATGGTAGATTTCAAAGCCTTGAAGGGTGGAGACTGTATTTTCTTTTGTGTGTGTTGCTCCTTGGAGTCTACCACAGTGTCTGGCATGTAGTACATGCTTGTCCTGCCAGCGTACTCAAAAGCCTGTTGAGTGGGAACAATAGTGTGGACTGAGCTGTGAAGGTTGTCATTTTCTACGTGTCTGGTTTCTCAGGTATTTTGGCAAGGTTGATTTCTTGCCTCTTGGTTCTTGCTTTAGGTATTAGTGGCCAGAACATTAGTACAGGCCTGGAGGTTATTTTACAGAATCTGTTTTTAAAGATTTCTTGGAATTGAATACTATATTTTAACTTCATAGAGGATAAAGTTCCGTTTTATGAAGCAGCTTTATAAGACCAGTGTAATACACTTGACTGACTCTAGGTGTCCTGTGTTAAGTCAAAGGACTCAGGCCGAAGATTCTTGGGGCTTTTGTGAGTGAATGGTTTAAATAATAAGAACTGGGCTGATTCATCAGATTTAAATACATTGCCGAATACTTTGGCAGGATAAATTATGTAGCTGTATAACATGAATTGAACACATGCTTAAATATGTTTGTCTTAGCTGTTTTTGTCTTTTTTATGGCAAAAATTAACTATAGGGCATAGTTTTGTACTTTCCAAGCCAGTGACGTTTTCATAAATGGTAGGAGGAATTGGGATGAAAAGTGCCTGGCTATGGCAAAACCATCTCATAGTTAAATAGGAAATAGGGTGGCTTTTTTGCCTTTTAAAAAAAAATATTTTATTGTGCTGTGAACAGATAAGTATTAGTAATTGATTGATTGTTTATTTATTTATTTATTTTTGGCAGCTGGCAGTATGGAGATCCAAACCCTTGACTTTTGTGTTACAACACCGCTCTGTAACCAACCGAGCAGACTGGCCAGTCCCCAGGGTGGTTTTTTTGAATATGTGTTTAGGGCTTATCACAGTGTCAGCACTAAGGTGTTATCCAAATGTCTAAAAACTTGAGAAGTTAATTTGATGGTTTAAAATTTTATGATAACCCATATACATTGTTGTAGGTGCTAATGACTTTCCATTGTTTTTTTTGCTGCTTAAATGTCCTGTTTGAGTATTTTTTATAATCTGTTTTTTCCCTCTCTGCACAAGTGTTTCCATTGTAGGAAGTTTGAAAAGTATCCAGAAATAGAAGAAAGTAAGAGTCTTATCCCAACACTAGCTATAACCACAATAACCACTTGAAATTTATTTTTGACCATTCTTGCGTAAGAATGCATTTTATTTGATTCACAAAGAACTATCTCTTTTGCTCCAGACATTCCCTTGTGTTTCAGTCTTTCACGCATTTACTTAACTATTAATTTCAACTTAGTAGAATTCAGAGGGCGAGGGGAAAGGTAAACCAGTTAAAAACATTTTAGCGCTCACAATGAAATCTGTTTTCAGAACACCATTTTAAGCACCAAGAAGGGAAAGTTTTTAAAAATCACTCAAACCGTAATATTTGGTCATGGTTCTGAAGTCACTTAACATATTAGTTATGTGTAATAACTATAATGATTTTACAAAACTGTGTATATATTTAATATTCTTGAATTTTTTCAGGATTTATCTTTGGCTTTTTATACTACACTACGTCTTCAGTGCTGGACCGTAAGGAACAAACTTTTGCCTGGAAGACTCTGCCTTCTAATTTAAGGATCCTTCCTTGGAAGGATCTGAGAGTCATTCAGTAGAAAATCTGGGGGTGTATTTATTTATAATATTTTTTATCTATTGTAAGTTATTTATAAGCATAAATAAACTGATATAGTTTTATCCTGCTGTTTACCAATATGGATTTATTGAAGTAGGTTTTGTGGCATTTTTGCTTCAGGAATGCCTGAACTAGATGAGTACACCATGGAAAGGGTCCTGGAGGAATTTGAGCAGCGGTGCTATGACAATATGAATCACGCTATAGAAACCGAAGAAGGGCTGGGTATTGAATACGATGAAGACGTTGTCTGTGATGTCTGCCAGTCACCTGATGGCGAGGACGGCAACGAGATGGTGTTCTGCGATAAATGCAACATCTGCGTGCACCAGGTATGTAGGGCAGTGAGGCCAGAGAGAAGCCATCTGGAGCATGAGCCCACTGCCCCGAGCCCAGATTCTTCTTCCACACAGGGTCCATTTCCCCCCTATCCTGAGAAATGTGCCCTGTAGACAGCTTTCCCCCCAATAGGTTCTTAACTGTATTAGAAGCGTGGCTTGGCTGCTTTTATAACCAGAAGTCTAGGATCCTCTGTGGAAGTTGTCTTTCTTTACGTAGTATTTTTTTCTTATTCATAAAACTCAAGTTTTCTTAAGAAATAATGACCCCCTCTGTCCTGCTTCAATACCTGAGGTATTAAGAGCACTGAAAACACAAACAAACCCTAGAAAAGGTGGTTTGTTTGCTATATTAGTTTGTTAGGGCTGCCCTACTAACAAACAAAGTATAACAAACTGGGTGGCTTAAAACCACAGAAATGTACTTCTTGCAGTTCTGTAGGCTAGAAGTCCAAAGTTGAAGTGTCGGCAGGACTGTGCTCCCTCTGAAACATTAGGGAAGTCCTTCCTTGCCTCTTCCTAGCTTATGGCACTTAGCTGGCAGTCTTTGGCCTTGCTTGGCTTGCAGCTAATTGCCTTCGTTGTCACGTGTTCTCCCTGTGTCTGTGTCTTCACAGGGCTGTCTTTTTAAAGGACACCTGTCACACTGGATTAGGGGCCACCCTACTCCAGTGTGATCTCATCTTAACTAATTACATCTGTAATGACTGTTTTTAAGTAAGGTCACTTTTTGAGATAGTTGGAGCTAGGACTGCAGAATATGTTTTTGGGGACACAATTCAATCCATAATATTTGTTAGTACATGTTAGTATATAAACTGAGCTGTCAAAGGAGACCAAAGCAGCCTCTTGTCTGAAAGGTTACTTCTTGTCTTCCCTGATATCAGTAGGATTTGGTGGTTGCTACCATCCATGGAAAAGTAAATCCTTTGGCTTCACTGAGGATGTGTACTGGGTAATTTAAAAAGTTTACAACAGTCTTAGTGCCTCGTATCTCTTTTATTTATTTTTTAATGCAGTAGTGAAATAATTTGGATTTATGTGGGGGCTTGTGCCCACATAAAGGCAAATGCTGTCCTGAGGTACTTTCTTTGAATTCACCTGTTGATGATGAGATTTATTTATTTATTTGTTTATTTTTTATTTATTAAAAAGATGACCGGTAAGGGGATCTTAACCCCTTGACTTGGTGTTGTCAGCACCACGCTCTCCCTAGTGAGCTAACCGGCCATCCCTATACAGGGATTTGAACCTGTGGCCTTGGTGTTATCAGCACCACACTCTTCCAAGTGAGCCACGGGCCAGCCCCGATAATGAGATTTAAAACAAACTTGAAAGAAAGACTTGTGTGGAATAGTTGCTTGGGTGACCTCTCAGGAAGAAAGATCGGGTTTGCTCCATGAAGTTCATAATTACCATTTCTTTATAATTTGTTTGCCCCTTGTGCTTTACCTCTGTCTGAAGACTTCACAGCTGTGGCCTTATCCCAGTTCACCTTGACAAGATTTGAGACCATAATCTCTTGCTTTAGTCATGTTATAGCCCATCTTGTAAATCTGGATTTTCAAATTGTTGAGGAAGCTTCCTTGGGATAGTAGAGATTGCTATGGTGGTTCTCTTGTGCTGTCATCATGAGCATTGTTGACTTTTTGTTGCTGTGCTTCTTGTATTTAGTTGGATGACTTTTCAGTCTTTTACTTATTATTTATTTTTCCTGTGAAAAATATTTTTGAAAAAAAGGGTATTGCTTTTAAACTGGCGAAACCTCCTGTTTTATAAATGTGTTAACTGATGCCAGGGCAGGGCTGTTTAGGGTCTCATGGGTTAGTGGCAGAATTGGAACTGGAGCTTGGGGGCTTTGGACACCCTCTTCCCCAGCTTCTTTTCTTTCTGCCATACCACGATGTCTCTTTTCCTTACATTTACCTAATGTTTCTTTTGAGAAATCCTTCATGGCTTGTCTTTAAAGCATTCTTTATTTAATCTTTTAAATTAGCTTAGATCTGCTTTTCCAGTAAAAAATAAAGTTATCTCTTCACATGTGACTCTCTACAGTGCTGGATATAGACCTCTAGTGTTTGAAACCTTAGTAGTGTCATTTACCTCCATTTAGAAAAAGTTTTTTTCCGGTAAGTCTGTGTTGGCAGTGGCTTATTCGTGGCACAGGCATAACACCCCTAGGCTGCAACCTTCGTGGTACTCGACTTCACTCAACTCTCATCCTGTGGTTTCCTTTTTGCATCCTGGGTATTCAGATTGCACAGCGGCTGTGTTTTTTCTGTCTGGAGAATCAGAGCTATGTTACTGTGACTCTTGACTTCCTGCCTTCCAGTTCATTTAAGGATAAAGTTCTGAACAGTTTGGTTTTTAAGTGGCTCACTGAATGTGCTCCTGGTACCACTGTGGTTTTGTTTCTTCACTTATTTAACATTTGCCTTTTCTCTTCTAACTATCTTAATTACTTTAGTTGTAAAAGCCTTGATTTCTGCAGTTTATGTCGTCTTGTGTAATTTTGCCATCTTGTGCAAAACAGGCTTTGTTTTAAATATCAGCTAAGGAGACCAAATTCTCTCTTTGTCTAGAATGTCTCCTTATTCTGCGTCTGTTGCATTCACTTGGGAGAATATGGGTATCTAGTTAGAGTTGCTTAGCCTGGGGAATGAGGACGCTCCTTAGTTTGTTTCTCCTTTCCACTGCTATCTCATTTGATAGCTTTGGGAGACTCTCAACTGCTTTGTGTTTTTTCCCCATACTTTGTATCCCTCCCCCATCAATAAAGCAGAGAAGATCCCCCACTTAATCCTATAGAGTGTTTTAAGTATTTATTGCTCAATATTTAGAAACTTGGTATAGATGGGTTTTGTAGCAGCACAGCAAAGCAGATTTTTTGTAAACCTTTCCATCCTCAAGTAGGAACACCCTCTGCGAAATAAATACGTATCGTATCTGCAGAGCTCAGATACCTCCTGAGCACTACTCTGAGGCTTCCTGGCATTTTTCCTGAGGGGAGAGGGTCAAGTGGACATGGAAGAGTCTACTTTGGTGGTGATTCTGTTAACATTTTTCTAGGTGTTTTAAAATTAAAAGGTCTAATGGGAAGAGTAAATCTTTTCTTTTTCTTTTCCTTGGGGTTGTGCTGTTGTTTTACAGGCGTGTTATGGAATCCTCAAGGTACCAGAGGGCAGTTGGCTGTGCCGGACATGTGCCCTGGGGGTTCAGCCAAAATGTTTGCTGTGTCCCAAGAAGGGCGGAGCTATGAAGCCCACCCGCAGTGGCACCAAGTGGGTCCACGTCAGCTGTGCCCTGTGGATCCCTGAGGTAAGTTTGGTTCTTAATAGCACATTAGCCCAGAAGGTCCCAGCTTTTAACTGAGATTGGGTGGCTGGGTGGGGAACCATTCCTAAATAGGCAGCATTGTAGCTGATGACTAAAAAGACCTTTTCATGCTACCCCCTTCACCTCCTCCAACTGAATCCCAAACGCACTGTCCTGTCATGGTGTGGAAATTGTGGAAATGTTACCTGGAAGCAGCAGTGAGGTGGACTCTAGATTGGTGGTGTCCAGGCTTTGCCTCACCTATCCGTCCCCATAAGCCTGTCCCGGCTATGGCCTGGGTGTGGCTGTGCCATTCCCCAAGGATTGGCTGTAAGTCCTAGTGCTTGGCAGGCCACACACACGGCACCACCGTGGTTAAAAGAATCACTGCTTTAGGTCACATTTTTGCAATTTTTATTTAAATTCTTACTCAGCCATAACCTTTTTAATTTCAGGTCTGGTCTAATTTATTTCAAGTCCCAGACCTTGACTAATTTAATTTGCATGGCTCACTATGAGAATGTCATTTGTGATTCAAATTTCAGCATTTTTTGGTGTGTGATTTTGGTACATTTTTCCTCCTGAGGAAAATTATCTGGGGATGATATGGATTGAGGTTGAGGTTTCATGATTTGAGTCTTGGTAGCACCGGATCTTGTGGTTTGCTATTAACAGGATACAGTTCAGTGATCCAGGCTGACTGCAGAGGCATTTTTCTTTGTTTATCTTGGTAGTTTTCCACTCTGAATGATGTAATCATGTTTTCTGACTGAAGAAAATGGTTTTCTTCAGTGGGAGAGATTAAAAATAGCTTATGTTTATTCACTCCATTGTTGACCACCTGTTTAAATACATCTAGGATGGATTTTTAGTCTTGACCAATTCCTTGCAGGGCCAGAGGTATAGCAGATTGCATTGTCCTGATACATAAGAGTCTTTGCCATTAGACACTTGAGTGAGAAGTGAAGACTCAGTTATCTGAGTATTTTTACAAATGGGGATGCCTGTGTCACATGGGGACTGGGCTCTGGGTTCTACTGCCACTGGCCCAGAGCTGGGACCCTGTTGCTGTCCTGATGCTTTTAAAGTAGGGTTTGCTTCTTCTAGGAGGGTGAGTGTCCTTTGCCACCGTCTAATGGATCTTAAGTTTCTCATGTCCATGTTCAGCCTCTGACGGCCTGTGCCACCCTGTCTTGCTATTTTTGGACCTCTAGGTGAGCATTGGCAGCCCCGAGAAGATGGAGCCCATCACAAAGGTGTCTCACATCCCCAGCAGTCGATGGGCGCTAGTGTGCAGCCTCTGCAATGAGAAGTTTGGGGCCTCCATACAGGTAACTAGCTTAGTAAGAACAGCTTCATATTCCTATCCTGTGTTGTAGGGAGCAGGATGAGAGGGCTCTGTGAATTCTCAGAGAGTTTGGAGAGAGAACTAGTGTGCAAGCAGCAGGGCGAGGTTCCTGAGAGATGACGGTAGCCCAGCGTGAACACCTTTAGTTGACTGGTATTCTGTGTAATCAGAACTCGAACTTTAGCAGTCACTGGTAGTTAGTTAGAAGTCCACCTGAGCCTGGTGCCACAGCTTCTTCTTTCCAGAGGCAGACTCTTCCTGGGAAGAACTAGAGTTTTATAGAGACATTCCTTGACATGGCACTTGAGAGTTGGTCACCCTCCCATCTGCAGTCACAGACTTCTGAGACTGCTGCTTCCTGTTGTGCGTGCACCTGTTGGCATCAACTGGGCATGCTGATGCTTTCATATTTGCAAAAACAGAGACTCCTCCTTGGAGCACCACTCGATAGAGGAGTGTCCACGAGGTGCTGCACGAGATGCTCTTTGCATCAGTTGTTCTCTGATCTGTGCACAGTCTGGATATCTGGTTCTTTATGTCCCTGTATGTGTGTGTGTGAGAGAGACACACACACACACAGCACACACGTATGTAAAAATGTTGCCTGCGCTTGTATGTCCACATACAGACACGTATAGAAAGTCACGAGATGGGTAAAATTTAAGGAGAGAATGTAGATGGTGTGGTGTGTTTTTTTCATGTTGTCTAAAACTCTACCCGAGAAGTTAATTTCTGGCCTCACATTACTGAAATTTAGATGATCATGATTTGGAATGCTGTGTGTGGCTGATGTGGGCCCTAAAGGTCGAGTCTGACTCTTCCTCTGGAATGTACCAGTACAGGCTCTTCCTCAGTTTCCTTTTGAATTCTAGGAGCAGAGGCAGGCACTGTTTTGGGGCAGCTTCTCTCTCATACAGAAAACACAACAGCACAACACAGACAGACTCCATGAGCGTCAAACTGCCAGTCATGGGTTTTAAAGAAATGACCTCATTTGGCAAAATCAGTTTGCATTTTGCCTGATAAATATTTCTTTTGGTTAGGTACCTACCCACTGATTGGTGGTTTTAAAGTTTTTCATTTTTTTACAAGCCAAGTGGTTCTGTTTTTCTTCATTATCACTTCTACTGGTGTTGGAGAACGCAAAATGTAATAGAAATATTCAGAGGGTGGGGCATGAGACATCTGATGGGATTTGGCTGGCGATCTTGAAAGTAGTAAGGATTTTTTTGTAAATGAATAGCATCTGTTTAAAATGTGACACTCACCTCTGGCCTGAGAGTTGGATTGGGGAAGGAGAATGGAGGAGAGATAAAAAAAGGCATGAGAGTGTGTGTGTGCGTGTGTGTACACATGTGTGCACTTGAGGAAAGAAGCTGTGGCAGACCCAGGAAAATGGAAATCATTTTCTTCCATATTACCTGATGATGTTGTTCTAAGCATAGAATTTCTGCCCTTTCCTGAGCATGCCAGTCCTGATCCTTAATTGATGTTTAAAAGAGGTGGGCAAATGGGATCTTTGTTTCTCTTTTGAGGAGAGACAATATAATGACTTTTTTGTTGCTGTTGACCTCTTTTTCCCAGAACATTAATTTGAAGGAGATGAGGCCAAGGAAAGCTGATGATTTTTCATATCTTCACAGAATGGATCGATTTTATTAAAAGAATTTCTCTATGAAATGTCTGCAGCTGCAAAGGCTCTGGTTTACGTTTCTGTAACATCTGTTTGCTGAGTCAACCTGAATAGGAAAACCCAGAGGAAGGCCATTTGGCGTCTTTACAAAGTCCTGTATAAATATTCTGCTGCAGCTCATTTCTCTTTAAGGTTAGAGTGCTTGGGTTAAGTGTAGTTTAAGCCAAACACAGATAGTGTCTCAGTCTTCTGTTCCCACTCTTACTTCCCACTTGGCTGCATGCTGCAAGGGAGGATGCTTTGTCTTTTAATGACAGGGGCCAGGTGTGTGTGTGTGTGTTCTGCCACCAAAGCTGATTTCACACATTTCTTGGAGTTGTGGTGATTTATAGGTAAAATTACAGATTTATGTTAGTTCATGTGCTTTAGGTGTTTGTAATGGGGGAATGGTGAAGGGAACTGGATTTTCTGTACTTCTGAGTAAAAGAGACTTTATAGTAATGAAGGAATCATGGCTGGTGGTGAGTCACCTCTTAAACACTGAAATGACTGGGGGGAAAAGCCCCACCTCTAGCTTCTGTCATCCATAGTTATGTGATTCAGGGTCTGTTGAATGAGTTGAATTAAGCTTTTCAGTTGGCCTGGAGCCACTGGATTCTGCTCTCTGCAGCCCTGGCATGCCCCGGGGATCACTTGGCCTCACAATACAGTGTTGCTTTTAAGGGACTGGCTTCAATCACCACGAGGAACCTCCTTCTGGGGATTTGCACAGCAGCAAGATCAGATGGGGCAAAGTTAATCATTTTGCTCCTGCTAGGCCAGGGGCTTGCTGTCTGGATCAAAGGCACTAAATTGTAGCCCTGTTTAGGCAGTGAGAAGAGAGGTATTTTGTGCAGCTTGATGACACCTAGCCTCTAGGCTGACCTCCCTGTGACCCACAGGAAGTGGGTCCCTCATGGTCCTGCCACCACTCTTCAGTTGCCAGGTTTGGTGTACACAGATCTCAGGGCTTGGGGCTCTCTGTGGAGTCCCCCAAACTTTCTGCTGCCAGTGGAGCTTCCTCACTGGTGTGGAGGCCTTTCCCCATCCTTCCTGTGCTGGATTCTTCTTGTCTCTTATTCTTTTCTGCTCCTCTCAGGTTTTTATTCTCCTTGAGCCATGACCCTTAGTGCTGCTTTGATGAAGAGTACCATTTATTTTTCCACTTGTGTTGGGACTCCCAAAACTCTGGCTAGTGGTCATTCTTCCTGAGGAAATTATTATTATTATTTTTTCAAAAAAATTTTTTTGGCGGTTGGCCAGTATGGGGAACTGAACCCTTGACCTGGTTTTACAAGGATGCACTCTATCCATCTGAGCTAACTGGCCAGGCGCCCTGAGGAAATTCTTACTCAAGGTTTTATATAAACCCTATAAGAAAAACCAAATCATTGCCTCAAAGTATATTCTGCATATTGAGCGCATGTTCTTTTGTTTATGATCTGAGTGCCACGCCCCCTTCATCTCCACCTGCGTTTGTATAATTGTGTCTGATTTCAGAGGGGATTTGGATGCGGCTACTTTTCTAAGAAGGTTATGGTTTGGTTTATGAAACCTTTCAAATGAAGAGTTTCCTTAAATCCCAAGTCTCACCTCATTTAAAACACGACTTGATCTGCCAGGGTTAATCCATGTAAAACTTTTCTGTCACAGCACACGCTTGAAGTGTGGCTCTGTGTGTGTGTGTGAGAGAGGGGGTGTCTGGCACTAAATGCTTTGGTCGTTGTTGCTCCATAATGGTCTTTTCTCTTGTTCTCTGCATGTTCTCCCAGTGCTCTGTGAAGAACTGCCGCACAGCCTTCCACGTGACCTGTGCTTTTGACCGGGGCCTGGAGATGAAGACCATCTTGGCGGAGAATGATGAAGTCAAGTTCAAGTCCTACTGCCCGAAGCATAGCTCACACAGGAAACCAGAGGAGAGCCTTGGCGAGGGGGCTGTGCAGGAGAATGGGGCCCCTGAGTGTTCCCCCCGGAATCCACTGGAGCCCTTTGCCAACCTTGAACAGAACCGAGAGGAGGCCCACCGGGTGAGTGTCCGAAAGCAGAAGCTGCAACAGCTGGAGGATGAGTTCTACACCTTCGTCAACCTGCTGGATGTTGCCAGGGCCCTACGGCTGCCCGAGGAAGTAGTGGATTTCCTGTACCAGTACTGGAAGTTGAAGAGGAAGGTCAACTTCAACAAGCCCCTGATCACCCCAAAGAAAGACGAAGAGGACAATCTAGCGAAGCGGGAGCAGGATGTCTTGTTTAGGAGGCTGCAGCTGTTCACGCACCTGCGGCAGGACCTGGAGAGGGTAATGATTGACACTGACACCTTATAGTGACTTAGACAAGAAGATACAAAGAGGCGAATGCTCGCCCAGAGCAAGAATTGTTAGCCAGTCGTTTACTCTCAGACCCTTGTACACACTGCAGCATGAGGTTGTGTTGGTTAAATATATTTATGGGCTGGTAAACTCATTGTACACATGTGTAAGACTGCCACAGAGTGGGGAGCTTCTTTGTGATTTTTTTTATGAACACTTTCCCTTAACCTTTACTGTTCGGAAAGATCAAATGGGGTGTATCTTTTTCCCTCCCTTCATTCTACAACTAGAGGGAAGTGAGCCCCCGGAATATGGCCAAGGGGTTGACTTAGAATTGTTTACAGACTGATTTAGAAAACCAGAATAGATTTAATTTATGAGGGAGCAGAGGTAGGAAAATCTCACGTTCAATCTGGGGAAACACTTCCTAGGTGCTGGTGATGGGCTCATTTAGTAGAGCTAAGCACTGCCTCTTACTGGCCCACCCTCGTTTCTTGGCCAGTTCACAGGGGCATTCCCAGTACTGTCACGGAGTAGAGCAGGCTGTGGGTGCTGGTGTGTGTGCATGAACTGACATACACATGCATGTCTGTTACAGAAGATACTCCTGGCAGTGAGGTGCTAAGTCATCACGGAGGCTGTGTATATATATTGTGTGTGTGTGTGTCCATCTGTGACTCTGTGGCATGTCTGTGTGGGTGTGGGTTGGGACTCCTGGCGCACAGGGGCATCAGATGTGTCTGAGGAGCCCTCAGTTGTTTATCACACCACTGGGCTGCTGAGAGTGGTGGCTGTGGGCTGCCTGAGCCTCAGCTGCCAGCACTTCCTTCAGCTTTGTGCCTCCCCGATTCTCCATTACCTTTGGAGTCTCAGTCTGGACCTCCCTTCCTCTACAGGAATAATTAGGAGTGGGCTGTCTTCCCCCTGGATCTCCTGTCCCTGTAGGTAGTTTCTGACTGAAGCTTGCTAATTGGGGATGCATCTTCTGCATCAACTCCCCTGACTTCTGGCTACCGATTAAATTCATTAGTGTGAAAGGGATGGGACTGAGGTTTTCTGGCCTGAAGCAGCCTGACTGAAAGGCACCCAAGTGGCCTGAAACAGTTAACACATCTCCCCCAAGCTTGCACCTCACTTATAAGTGGGGAGTGATTCACCTGCCTGGGAGAGAATCTGATTCACAGATGATATGAAATGAAGAGTGTAGGCAAAGAACAGGGATAGACCGTAGTACTGAACCAAAAGATTCACATCTCACAGAGACCTGCATGTCTCTGTTAGAGATGGCATACAAGTGAAAGTATTTTTAAGTACTCATTAGAGTGCCTGTTAGTTCATGACTGTGATGATCCTTCCCAGACCAGATTAGGAGTCTGGGAAAGGCGGCAGATTCAGGCTGAGGGGAGGCAAGAGCCCAGCAGGCTTTGAGGCTTTTGTGCTCCTACACGCCCCCTGGTGGTGAGTGTAAAGAAGACCTCGCCTCTCAACCACATGTATGTGTGGCATTTTTGTTAAGAGATAAGAAAGAGATTGAGAAGGATAAACTGGAATCCTGGTGAGAAGCCATTATCCTAACCCAACAACTGCTGTAACTGGGGTGCATGAACTGTGGAGTCAGATAGTCCTTGGAAGGGGAGGATGAGAAGTCTAATGTTTGGACTGTGTTTGTCTCACAATCACCACAAAATAAAAGTGTAGAAAATGGTTGTGGTGTACTAACTCTTTTCTGTACTTAAAGTTACTCAGATTAACACGCACTTAAAATTAAATCTAAACATTTTTTTTGGAGTCTTCACTGTTCCTTTTAAGTAGAACAATGCCAATGATGTGTGAGAAACAGGGAATAAATCAGGATTTGTGTGTGTGTGTGGCATTCCTTACATATTCTTTATTAAAAAGACTAAAGATGTTAGATAATTTAGTGTTAGTTTAAAACAGGCTTATTATAATAAAAACGTATTTCCCATGAGGAAAATTTGCCATGAGGCCTGTGATGATGGAGGCTTTGAAAAACTGAAATCTCTGCTGTGCCCCAGAGAGTTGCAGTTCTTTGTAATTATGAACAAGTGTATCAGGCCGAGGGTTCAACCAGGTATGGTGACAATAATAACAAATCAAAAATTTCATTTACCGCAAACTTGTTTTCTCAAGGACGTCAGTGTTCTGCCTAATTCACACAATATCAGTTCACAGCAGATTTTCTTTTTTTTTTTTTCCTTTTTGTCTTTTAAAAACTGGTGTGTGTTTTTCAAAAGTTTTGGCTTTGTGAGATGAGTCTAAGTCTGGCCCCTTATTTTTGAACTTTCACTCTTAATCTCTCCTGGATGGAACAGTATTTATCAAAGAGAATAGTATGTTAGCCACCTGCATCCCCACCTTGGTCAGGATTTCTATGAGACACCTACTTCTTGGCTTGGGGGTGTACGGCTGTCAGAAGGAACTACCTTAGGCTGAATGACACCAACGTAATATTTACTCTGAGACGGGGAGTGATTTTCTTCTCAATTTTTTAATTATAAAGTATATATTTTTTACAAGCAGTGTTAGTAACGTAAGGGATTGATGTAGAAAAAAGACAGAAGATCCTGATAGTGAATTGGTTAGGGTTGAGAGAAGCCCGATTAGGCGTTTTCCTGCTTTAGGACAGATTATACCACGATGCAGTTGTAAAAGCTCATTGACCCCTTTTTTGTCTTCATGCCTCTTGTCCTCTTGCAAATGAGACTGCCTTCACCACAACTGGAATTGTTAGGGTTCAGAAAGGACTGAAGACCTTAGGGGAGGTGTACTTAAGCCAGATTGCAAAATCCCTGTGTATGGCTTGTTTCTGTACTTACTGAAAGAAAAGGATATTGACCTTTGAACCTTTTTCATTTAAAGTAAGGTTACAGGGGAAGGTATTACTCATAAGGAAGGTGTGATTTTTAGGGGAAGATAGGCATGCCATTGGCAATGGGAGCTGAGGGGGATACATGGTCACTTGTCACTCCTGCCACTGAGATATTTAGGTCTTGTCCACATCTTCCTGAGGAAAGGCTTAATTGTATGTCTGGTGAGTTGCGTTTGACATTTTGTGTTTTCGGGCCCATGTAATCGAGTCAGGTTTACCAGTATTAGATTTTAGGACTGAAGGATTAAGGGTGTTTAGTGAATTATTCTTTAAATTTTGTTTCTGGGCCGGCCCGGTGGCGCACTGGATAGTGCGCCGCTTGGGAGGCGCGGCGGCGCTCCCGTCCGAGGGTTCGGATCCCACGTATAGACCGGTTCCCGCTCACTGGTTGAGCGAGGCGCGGGAGCAACACCGAGGCTTGCGATCCCGTTGCTGGTCCCCGGTCCGGTACGGGGGCAACACTGAGGGTTCGGCGCACTCTCTAGTGCGCCACCGGGCCGGCCCTAAATTTTGTTTCTGTATTGAGCTGTGATAGGTGGTTTTAAAAATGAGGAATCAATCTTAAGTTTTGGTTACTGAGTATTGGTTAGTGAGCGTGTACTTGCGGTCCAAAGCAGTCTCAGCACTTGGGTCTTTTCAGTTACAAATGAACCAGGATGAGGGCAATATCAGTTTTTCAAGTGGTAATACAGAGAGCTGGACTGGTGATGTCGACTTAGCAAATCATTGGCAAAGTGGGAAGGAAGTTCCTGAGGCATTCACACACCTCAGAGGAATACATGAGCTGCTTGTGAGCTCCAGGCACTTCAGAGTTCAGTGTCCAGTTGACAGAGAAATTTAGTTGGATTCTTGGTGATCATTTGGTCTTCTAGTGGGCCCCATGCAGGGGGTTTTTCTGTGATGGCTTTGACCCTCAAGATGCTTGATAAAGTACAGCAGAGGTGGCTTCTGAACTGCTCTAAAGATGTTGACAATAGTATTAATGGAAAGAAGATATTGGTGGATGGTAAGCAAAGTCCTTTGGCAAGAGTTAGCAAGTCTTGACTTGGACACCAGTGGCCTTCTCTTTGCTAGGATGGGCTGGGTGTGGTGGAGAAGCCAGGGCTTTTCTTTGAGTTCTGTAGGTATTCCTCCCACAGTCTAACCTCTTCTGTGTTGCTGCTACCCACATTGAGGGTTATATGCAGGATCCTTGTTATCTTCCCAAAAGGAAATTAGAGATTGGATAAAATGTTTAAAGTACATTTTGATCTCAAATGTTTGTCAAGGCCCCTAGTAGGACCAGTTTCTCTCAGGTAAAGGAAATAAAAAAGCACCAAAGTACTGTTACAATGTATTGCTTACTTAGAATCTTTATTCTCTACATTCTAGGTTCGGAACCTCACTTACATGGTGACCCGCAGGGAAAAGATTAAACGATCTGTGTGCAAAGTCCAGGAACAGATATTCAATCTTTACACTAAGCTCTTGGAGCAAGAAAGAGTTTCAGGTATGCATTAAGCACTGGTAGGTCAAAATATAGGGCAGTGGTTTGTAAGCCTTAACATTGTTAAGGAAAAAATAATCATTTCTTTAATTTTCTTTTATTTATCCTATATAAGAACTTAAGAAGCACAGTCTTCCATATTTAAAGAATATCTTCAGGCATTTGAGGCATCGTGGTATAGGGGAAAGAGCTATGAATGTGGCCTTAAAAATATGGGTTGAATCTTACTTATATCCTTTACTTATGGCTGAACGCAAGCAAGTATTGATTCTGAGCCTCTCCTCACATGTAGAATGAGGATGATATCTCATACTACCTCTTGGAAGTTTTCAAATGAACCAGCAACTTACGTATTACAAAGCACTTCCTAAATGTGTCATGGGGACACCTAAACAGATTTATAGATTATCTAGCCTTTGGGTCTATTTGTAACATGGCAAATATATCTTAATTAAGAAAGTAATTAAGACACATGTCCATTTTTATATGACATTCACAGTGGACTTTTCTTGGTGTAGGTGGGATTTTGAGTATTTTTGAAATTGAACACCAAGTATTTACTTAGTGCCTTCTATTTTTACATTGCTCTGGGTTAGGCAAAAAGAAAACTAGCACATATACTTCCTCCACTTTGGAGAACACGTCAGTTACTTGAAGATTGAGTGCAAAGTCGGACAAGTTGTTTGGCATCTCTGGGATTCCGTTCATCTATAAAAGAGGTTTGGTCTAGAATCATGACCTAAAGTTCCTTTCAGCACTAGCATTCTCTGGTCATAAACTCCAGAACCTAGGTAGTAGAAGGGTTTCAGAGAGGGAGATCCGCTGAGAGTGTATCAGACAGAACCATGGACTCATGGTGCACAGGTAGGTCTTAGGCTGGACTCCTGTGGGAAATGGTGAGCATCTCTCTCCTGCCTTGAACTGCCCTGTAAGGTTATAGCAGCAACATTCTTGGTGCTTGCATTGGACAGAGAGTCATAGTTGATTCATTCTTTTATTTTTTTGCCCTTTTGTCTCTGTATCTAGATTATTACAACACATAGAAACAACAAAGAAGTTGTTATAGCCTGTTATGTTGAAATCCAAATTCTGATTTATCTATAATTAACCAGTTATATGTGACCAGAGGTAACTGGATCAGCTGAACAAATAGAGAAAGGCTTAGGGAGTTTTTTTTTTTTTTTTGTCTTTTTTCGTGTCCGGCAACGGACCGCAACCCTCAGTGTCGCGCCCGTACTGGACCAGGACCGGCAACGGGATCGCAACCCTTGGTGCTGCGCCTGCCCCTCGCTCAGCCAGTGAACGGGAACCGGTCTGTATGTGGGATCCGAACCCTCAGCGGGAGCGCCGCCGCGCTCCCAAGCGGCGCACTGTAGCAGTGCGCCACCGGGCCGGCCCGGCTTAGGGAGTTTTTAATGATATTCTTGAGGTGTATTTAATTTTAATGGCATTAACGTATTGATATTATACTAGATATTTTCTTCCCCAAATTAAATATTTTCCAGATGTATGAAGTGTATATCATTACCTGGAGCTTGGGAGCTTAGTAGTAAAACTTTTGAAATAAATTTTTCAAAGTGAGGTGTCAGGTAAAGCCAGTTTGATTCAGATTCCTTACTTTAAAGTGAATTTCATGTCTTCATCATTCCAACTTGAATACTACTAAAAGGAATCTATTTTATTGCATGCCTTTGTGTCCTATGTAAACAACCCACATGGAAGGCTGTCTGGTGCAGATCACCCAACTTCCAGCCAGCAGATGCTGAGCTGATGTTGCCTGGGATCATTCATGCAAGCTGTGCCTGTGGAATTGTGCCATTGGAGGGCTTTCTGTAACTTTTGCTATGTAATGAGTAATACTTATAAAAATAAGCTGTAAAGAGCATTTTCTTCTGATTTCACTTGAGTCATTTTTCATTGATATTGCAGGCAGCCTTTTGTACTTCATTGCTGAGGTTTTTCATTTGGTTGAGCGAATGGGATTCTTAACAAGGTTAGGAAGTGTTTTGTGTTACCAAGCTGTAATGTAGATCTGCATTCAGAAGTCCTACTGCTATTCCCGAAAAGAACAAATCCTCCCTTCATTCTGAGATGAGAACCATACTAGGTATGATCAGTTGAAAGTGACATCTTCCTGTGGGATACTATGGGGAAAGCAGTTGAAGTCCTTTAGGATGCCTTTTTTCTTTCCTTTTCCAGTTCTAGACTTCCTATTCATGCCTGAATTCAATCCTGCCTTGTAAGATAGATGATTCCATGTGAAGCAGAGCAGATGACTTACACGTGTCATTCAGGGCCTATGTTTTAACCTCTGTTGTGTGATTCTGAGAGTAGGTCAGGTCAATCTGCTGAATGAAAGTGTCCTCAGTGGAAATAGTGCTTATGCGAGTCACAGTCCTTCCACATCAAGCAGATAGGAACCAGAGTTCAGAAAATGGCATTCCCTCCTTACCTTTTTGTTTTCCTATGATAGGTGATTTAGTAAAAGAAATATGTTAAGTGTGGGGTGAAGGCTGACTCTAATGAATGATTCTTGACAAAGCAGGTATTTCCAAACCAGCAGCTTATAAAAACCCTCTCCTGTGGTCACAGCAGTTCTGTGTTCAGGGTTGCTTGCTCTGTTCTGTTTGCTTGCAGTGTCCATGTCTGATGAGTGGCAGGTTCTCGTATGGGTTCTGTCCTTGTCCTCTGGGCCTGAACCTTGTTTTCCTGGTCGGTCATATCTTATAGGAGACAGAAAAACTGAGAACTGTTCTCTGTAGATAGATGCTTTTGAGGGTCTTGCAGAAACATGGTCCTTCCAATGAACTCCAGTGTGTTTACGAATTCACCCAGTTTTTCAAACTTGGGGTTACAATTCATTAGTGGGTTGAGATGAATTCAGTGGGTTACAGTCAGCATTAAAAAAAAGTGAAATAGGATAGAAAATGTCAGAATGAATATCAGGTGATGAGGGTTAATATTATTTCATGAAATGGGAGCATTTATTAGGTTATGCTGTGAAGTTTAGTTCTTACTGTGATTTGCATCAAGAAAGTTTGAAAAACACCAATTTAACTTATTATCAAGTTGGATGACGATTCCATTGAATCCCACAAATGGATTTTGCATATTATAGATTTTGGATATAACATATTATGGATTTTGCATATAACATTTTTTGAACACTTTCTGTGTATCAGGAACTATTTTAAACACTATTTATTTCACATATTTACATGTATTTATCCTCATAATAACCCTGTGAGGTATAGACACTTTGGAGAAAGTAACTGAGAGCCCCAGCCACTGCCCTTTTGGTGCTCCCAGTCTAGTTGGGGAGGGAGATGACCGGATTTGATTGAGGCACATGGGACAGTTGCTGTTCTGTAACCAAGTAGAGGGAGCAGAGGCAGCCACTGGTCAGCTGACTGATTCTGCGCAGATTCCCCTTTGAAAATCAGATCAATTAATTTTTTTGAAGGAAAGTGTGTTCCTTGAAAAGATACTGTTTCATGAAAAATTATTTAGAAAAAGTAGTATATTGAAAATGCAGACAGAATGGATTCTTAAGGCAAGTCCTATCTTTACTATAAATACCAAATTTTTACAAAGCGGGTGGTTGTATTTTGGACTGTTGGGTGGGAAGTTTGCATAAATCGGGTCACACTAAGGTCTCAAATTTTATTCTTTTGAATTTGCTTCTGCTGTAATTTTTATTTGTGGTTTTATGTTTATAGGTGTGCCTTCTTCTTCCTGCTCCTCCTCCTCACTGGAAAACTTGCTTTTGTTTAACAGTCCTTCTGTGGGCCCTGATGCTCCCAAGATAGAGGACTTGAAGTGGCATTCTGCATTCTTCAGGAAACAAATGGGTACTTCCTTGGTTCATTCACTGAAAAAGCCCCCTAAGCGAGATCCATTGCAGAATAGCACTGGGAGCGAAGGCAAAACCTTGCTAAAGCAGCCAGACCTATGTGGTAGAAGGGAGGGGATAGTGGTCCCAGAGAGCTTTTTGAGTTTTGAAAAGACCTTTGCAGAAGCACGTTTCATATCAGCACAACAGAAAAATGGTGTGGTGATGCCAGACCATGGGAAAAGAAGAGACAATCGTTTTCATTGTGATCTCATTAAAGGAGACTTAAAGGACAAACCTTCTAAACAGAGTCACAAGCCTCTCAGGTCCACAGATGTGTCCCAGAGGCATCTGGACAACACTAGAACTGCCACCTCCCCTGGAGTGGGGCAGTCAGCGCCTGGCACAAGGAAGGAGACGGTGCCCAAGTGCAATGGCTCCCTAATCAAAGTAAACTATAATCAAACTGCAGTCAAAGTGCCTACAACACCTGCCAGCCCTGTGAAAAACTGGGGAGGATTCCGGATTCCAAAGAAGGGGGAACGGCAGCAGCAGGGAGAGGCCCATGAGGGGGCCTGCCACCAGCACTCAGACTACCCATATTTGGGTTTAGGTCGAGTTCCAGCCAAGGAAAGGGCAAAAAGCAAATTAAAATCCGACAATGAGAATGACGGGTATGTCCCTGATGTAGAAATGAGTGACTCAGAGAGTGAGGCATCAGAAAAGAAATGCATACATGCCAGCAGCACTATCAGCAGGAGGACAGACATCATCAGGAGAAGCATCTTGGCCTCCTGATGAAACAGAGGTGGCATGGGAAGCCCTGCACACTTGTCGCTGGGTGTGCTGGGGGAGAGCTCTGATGCGGAGATGAGCAGAAACCCATACTCCTGAGCTACACAAACAATTTTACTTGCAATTCAGATCGAAATTTTTTTTTGTCATTTATAGATCATTGTTGTGAGAAGTTTGTGTGATTTGCAGCTTGTTGAGGAAACAGAAGAGTAGATTGTAACCATAAGACACTGCTAACACTAGAACTGAACTAAACACTAAAATGAGAATGAAATAAATAAGTTTTAAGGAGGGCAAGGCTTAAATAAGCCTCATTAATTTTTATTGCCCTCTACATTCTTCCCAAAGCACAAACTTGGTTACCTGAATATACGGCATCAGGTAATGGTTCTTGAGAAACCCTCATGTACCATTTATACCCCATAAAGCTTATTTTCTAGGACTGTGGTAGATCTTGAAGTCATATTTATATTTTGGCCCACAAGGCTGTTTTTGTTGCATTGTAGTACACAGGCAGCAGCTCTGAAGCTTCAGTAACACTAGGGAATTCATGTGTAAATATAGCAGTCAGGGAAGAGAAAACTTTTTAAAAAGGTCATTACTGGAAGAGCTGAAGGGCCAGGGTCGAGCTGCTGCAGCTTGGAGATTTGTAGTGAATGTGTAAGGTCCTGCTGCCTGAAGCTTGTGAGTGGGTTGCGGATATAAGATTGGTGACGAGTGAAGCTGTTAGGATAGTTCTATCTGTAAGAAAGGGCAATTGAGGTCCAATTTTTATCAGTACTCTAGACCTTCCTCTTCCCTAACCACTGGCTCCTGGGCCAGCTTGGGATTTCCCTGGCCATTGGCAATACCTAGCCATCTGGTTTCCAACAAAACAATGGCTATTCAAGTTCAAGCGATGAACTTCTAGACTCTGGTGACTCATACTTCCCAGAGCCAACCACTAGTGCGTATGTCGGGGAATCCGGGCTTCCAACATGAACGGATTCCTTAAGAAAATGGAAAAGAGAAAAAAAAAAAAAAAAGAAAAAAAAAAAAAAAAAGAAAAAAAAAAAAAAAAAGAAAAAAAAAAAAAAAAAGAAAAAAAAAAAAAAAAAGAAAAAAAAAAAAAAAAAGAAAAAAAAAAAAAAAAAGAAAAAAAAAAAAAAAAAGAAAAAAAAAAAAAAAAAGAAAAAAAAAGAAAAAAAGGAAAAAAAAAAAAGCAAAATAGGTTATATTTTAAAAACAGTAGAAAGGCAATAAGTTGCGATGAGCTCTTACCATTGACCAACATTATACTGAAAAGAGACTGAAGTGTACCCTTCAATAGGTTCTCTGGAGTCAGAGTTCTGAACTCTAATTCGTAACTTGGACTTTCTAATTGCAAATGGCAATAACTAGTAAGCTATCAGCAATAATAAATTTAGCATTAAATTTGAGTACAATGTTCTGTTTTTGCACTCACTGTAGTGCATATGTATTAAGACAGTGGATAGTGTTAAGGTCTTGTTAATTTTCTTTGGAATTCAATGTAGTTGTGAATCAAACTTAAGAGAAGGAAAGTTTAAATAGCAATGAGATTTAGAATTGTGGGCATTTGGAACAAGCCCGGCTTCCCCTAAATTACCCCTTAGTTTGTTATATTGGTATTCAAATTCCTGATTCATTTATACATCTGTTTCCATGTGGCAGGGACATTCTGATATACTTAGTGAATAATGCTTTGAGTTCAATAGTTAACTTTCAAGTCTTCCACATGATTGTCAACAACAAAAAAGGCTTATTGAATTCCATCTTGCTATGCAAGTTTTACCAGATGATCAAATACTAGATCTGATACATACATCCCCATTGTATGTATGACATTTCAAACCATGTCTTAACTTTTCGAGTACATTTTAGTAGCTAATTCAGGGGAGGGGAAGGAATGACCCAGGTTTTTAGATTGACTATTTTTGAGCTATGGGGCTCATTTTGAAAGACTGCTGTCCAGATTAGCTTGTTGCTACATATATTAGAAAGTTCTTATGATTCCAAGGTATACAGTCACTCGTAGCATAATTTAAAAATGAGATTTTTTTGCATATGAGCAAAAACCTTTTGCTGGATACAGGAGAAGGTTGGACTCTATCTAGTTATCTTTTGACTACAGCAACAGCTCTGGGTGAGAGTAGTATTTATAGAGGGAAAAATTGTCAAGCCATAGAAAGAAAATCTAAATTAATCTAGTAAGTGTATGACCTCTCACCATTTTAAGAGGTATCAGATTTATTTGCACTATTAGGAATGCTAGTTTTGTGCAAAAATAATGCCTTACCTGTTTTTTCCCCACATTTAGGTTGAAAAGCTTTCAAACGTTCCAAGTTATGCTGAACCAAAAAAACAAACAAACAAAAACCCACACAAAAACAAAACACACAAAAATAAAAAGCCCACACTTTTTATTCCTGCTTTGAAATGCAAATGGTATAGAGCACGGTTTCTCTGACAGTATAATGATAGCTTTGTTAGATTCATGTCATGCTGGGAACTCTGTATGAGGTGGCCATAGCAGGAACCAGCCCAACCTACCCATTTGGGTTCTATTAGTATGGAACCATTTGCTTTTTTTTTTTTTTTTTTTTTTTTTTTTTTTTTTTTTTTTTTTTTTTTTTTTTTTTTTTTTTTTTTTTTTTTTTTTTTTTTTTTTTTTTTTTTTTTTTTTTTTTTTTTTTTTTTTTTTTTTTTTTTTTTTTTTTTTTTTTTTTTTTTTTTTTGTAGCTTCATCTTTCCTCGTGCATCCTGACCAAGAAATATCTTTAATTATGATCAATGTATTATGTCAAAATGTAGGCTAGTTAAACTTTTGTAAAGTTGCCTGGAATGTCATTTGTTAGGTTATAAACATAAGATCTAAATGAAGGGTTTTATGTGTTGTGTACAAATCTTAATTATTTTGAAATGGACAAACTTGTCATTACATTTGTAACCTTGTACAGAGGATTTTTCACTATGTGCCTAGCTTGGTGTCCATTCAGCTAAAATTGAAAAAAAAAAGGTGCATGAAGAGTTAAAAATCAGAAATTAAACAAACTATATGTAGAGATGACTATTTTATATTACATGGCCCAATCCTGTATTTATTTCTACCCCCTTTTTGAAAGTATTTATAAAACTAGTTGAGGACAGCTGTATTTTTTTGTTGAACTATTTAGTAGAATTTGTGCCTTTTTGTCTGTATGTGAATAAATGCTGTACATTTTGCAATACATTTTTAAGTGTCTTTTGAAATCTGCTTTTGCTAAATATTTAAAGGTGTATGACTTAGCAGTCCTGAATTGGTGTTTGTTTACTGACTGCCTCATAGTTTAGGTCAGGAATGAGAACTGTAGGAACATATCAGGATTGTGAAAGAGCACAGAGCCCCTGGGCTGCTTTCTGGCTTGAACTTGATGGTGAGACTGTGAAAAATAAGTTTGACTTTAGTCTTCCTCACTTGGAGTTCTTTCCAGAATTCAATATTGGATCTGCAAACATGTAATTGTTGAAGCAACATAGACGTTAGGGTCAGAGATCCTGTGTTTAAAGGCTGAACTATAGTTTACCAGCCACATGACTGTGGCCATGTCACTTCACCCTTATGAGCCTCAGTTTTCCCATCTGTAAAAAGAGGTTAACATTTTAGTATCTTACTTGGGTGCTGGAATATTTAAAACAAGTTCATAGAGATCATATGGAATGTGTAGTAGGCAGTTAGTAAGGGGTAGGCTATTTTGTTAGGAACAAGACATTGATTTTTGCAACATTATTTTAACTGATGAGCCTTCTGACGCAAAAAATGTTATACTTGAATGATGGGAGGTTTGTATTTATAAGGTGATTTAAAAATAATTCTTCAAAAAGTTGTTTCATTAAATGCTTTCTGTTGATCACAGAACTCTGGAACATTTTAGAATAAAGAAGAGAGATTATCTGTATTCTACTGACTTGTCCAACGTCACAGCATTAAGCATCAGCAGAAGTGGGCCTACACCCTAGTTCTAATTTTTAGTTTTGAATTCTCCCTGCCTGAAACAGTCCTCTATACAGCCACTACATGCAGAAATTAGCATATAGTGAAATGCACCTTTCTCTTTATGTTGGGGACAGCAAAACTGGTTCGGATTATGCACTCATGTAGATTCTGACGATTAAAAGCCACAACAGGGTAGTGTCATTGTCCCAGTGTAATTTATAATTTGGGCAGTGTTTTCTTTTTTAAATAACATGAATTGTTCATACATTTTGCTAAAAGCTTGTTTATTTCTCCTTGTTTCTCCTTAGTGACTATTTACTTCCATGTTGCTTGCTCTGCACATAAGACCCCAGAGAGAAATAACTGTGGTTCTTCCTATAAGGTCTTAAAGTTGAATAACCACAATAGTTCCCTAGGGAAATTAAGTCCCCAGGAGCCAAAGGAAGGGCCTATCATTGGCAATTCTGCAATCTGTGATGGGAAATGTGGCACCAGGGACTCCTGTTCATGTTTTCACCCAAATCACTTAGAAAACAGTTTCTACCTTTGAAACATTAGCCATCTGCAAAAAAACTTCACAATTAACTTCGAGGTTGAAATCTTCAATGATTTCCCTTTAAAGTTAAGAACTGCATTAGGTGATATGTTCTAGTGTGAGGTACAATAGAAGAGCTTCGATTGGTCATTGAAAAAGAGAATAAAAGCACATCTAATATGTTACTACTTCCTTGACTGTCCTTTGCTGCTGAGTTTGATATCTCTGCAATCGAGCTTTTCCTAAGTTCTAATAGACTGCTTATTAGGCATTTCCTCTTGGAGGTATACAGGTACTTAAGATTTTGGAATTT